AAATCTACGAAAGCAAATATATATATATATATATAATACTATATATATATATATATATATATATATCACTCCTGATGTCCAGAAAGCAATATTTCTTCTGTGTCCGAGTCAAAACAGTAAATTGGGAGTAGAAAGGAGAGAGAATTTTGCTATATTGAAAATGGAGCTCCTAAACTCAGAAGTGCAGCTCCCTCATGAAACCATCTTGAGGTAAGGCAAAAACTCACACTGACTCTGTGGCTGCGCCTCACCTCATTTCACTCATATTTTTTTCAACAGACTGAGTTTGCTCTGCTGAGAATATGATGCTAAACCACTTTTCCTGTCGAGTTTTTTTAAACAGGGCCTCTGAGAAAGGGTTTGATACAACTCAATGACTGAAGTAATACCTTTGTCCATCTGAGCATTAAATGGCCCATTGAAATACAGCTTAGCTTGAAGGAATTTTTCAGTAAATGGTGGTTTCTAATTCCCCCCCCCCAACTCTTCTCCCAGCTGACTAGATTCTGGCTTCAAAACTGCAGTTCAATCACTTTCAGCTGCCTCTCAGGTCAGGCCTTTAGCCAGTGTTAATTAAATATAACCCCTTTAGAATACTAGAGGTTAACCGAGAGCAACAAATTGGTCTTCAAATACAGAATCTAGCACTATTCAAACAAAAGAGATTTGTGTGAGAGGCCTTCTTTGCTTATATTGTCCTTAATGCATTAAATATATAAGGGGGAAACAAAGGATATTTCTTTTCAGTTTGAAATGGTAAAGCATTAAAACATATTTCCTGCTTTGCATATGATTTGTCTTTAAACGGGTACAGGAATGCAGGTTTTGGTGTCCTCGGGTGTCTTCCCGTGTAGAAGTTGGGGTGTCTAGGCGACGTTTCGACGAAGGGTCTCACTCGTCAGTCACTTGACGAGGTCTCATCGTCAAGCACCAGCCTGAAGATGACGAGTGAGACCTCGTCGAAACGTCGCCTAGACACCCCAACTTCTACACGGGAAGACACCCGAGGACACCAAACCTGCATAATATATATATACGAAAGCAAATATATATATATATATATACACACACATACACACACACACACACACACACACGCATATGGAGAGGAAATGTTGATATCTATATTGTTCGGTATTAATATTACAGAAGAGGTCAGCCTCTTTCCATGTGTAACTGCATGCTGCTCAGACTTCAGAAACTTTGAGCTCTGTGTGAACTTTAAGTGCAGCCATGAGCAGAGGATCCTCCGCACGCAGCTGCGGTGGTACGATAGCATGGGCTTGCAACGCTGCGCCCAGGGACGGCAAGGTGAGCCCCCCGTGGGGTGCCTTCTTGTCATCCCCCTCAGAGATGGCACCCGGAGCAGACCGCCCCCCGCCCCCTTCCTCCACCACTGCCTTGGATTCAAATAGAAATCAAGCATTGCTCTCAAAGGTTGCTCTGACTATCTCTCAAGCTCACTGCTTTACTTCTGGGTCACAACACAAACCCCTTTGAACTCTAAACTCAGGGTTTGTTCTAACTATCTCTGGATTGAGGGAGGGGCTCCACCAGATTTGCCAACTTGCACAGAAACCCCTTTTTTTTCGTTCATCTTAATTGCTCATTACCCAGGTGATCACCTCAACACAGGAAGCTAGGTCTATCTTATATTTTACATTGCATCCAGGGGATTAGAAGGATCTTGCATCTAGCCTACTACTTAATCCCCCCTCAGCTCAATACTTCCCTGCTAGGAGGGTGTTCCACAGCATGGGATCTGCAACACAAATGTCCAACTTCCTAGTTGAGGCCAGTTGGTGTCTGTAACATGCGGGACAACTAACAGCACTCCTCTGGATCCTCTGCAGTTAATTAAGATGAGATATAAAGAGTGCAGTCAGTCCTGGGCCCAAGAACCCCTGAAAATGACGCTAGGAGCATATGTACAGCCCAGTGCAAGATATTTTAGGAGAGGGTCAACTGCTGTTTGCCATCAACCTCCAATCAGCAATCTAACTGCTGTATTTTGCACAGCTTGGTCTTTCCAGACTAGAACCCAAGGGAAACTCCTCATAGATCACATTGTGGGTAAATCTAGTACCAAGGTATACCAAATGTTTGGGACCCGTTGGCAAGTGTCTCAAACTCCAGGTGGCAGCCATAGCTGGGTACCCTTTAAGAGCTGGTAAAAGGCATCACTAGTCATAGGGAGAATCCCTTGGAACCAAAGCTATTCCCTGCCCATTTATTTAGAGGGAGTGGAAACCTGTCCCAGACAGGGAGATTCCTATCTTCCAGACAGTGAATCAACAAAGAGAGAAGGCCCTCTTATGTGCCTTGTCTTCTAGGTCAGTGTAGGTGAACTTATAAGGGAGAGAGCTTTCTCCGTGGTGACTCTGGACTCCTTGCCCATTGTTGTTCCATAAAGGTGACCTAGAAATATTTTAAATAAATAAATAACAATGGACAAGCATACATATTTTAAAGGACCTCTGAAAGGGAATACGTTTTCTTCCCTGTGTGCTCTGCTCAGAATGGGGGGTCCTTGCCTGACCCACAATCTCTTGAGTGAGAAGCAGGTTGATCAGTTTCTCAATTGTGGCAAAAGCTGCAGCCCATTTACTATGTTCTGTAAGCACAACATGAGTGGAGCCAGCTCCAGGTTACATGCCTCTAACTGCTATCCATGTAACCTTTTAAGGCTTCTGTTCTTTGGTTTCTTCAGAGTGCTGATAAATCTTAGAAACTGTCTTCTCTCTCTCTCTCTCTCTCTCACACACACACACACACACACACATTTCAAATTTATGTAAATTCCCATTTTGTATACTTTTTGTCAGTTCTGATGCTGTTACAGTAAATATATGCCATTATAGGGTGATGGGTTACATTATACTTAGAAATTTGCTGAAATTTAATAACACTAATAAAACAATTGCTTTTATTTCAGATGGGAAGCAAATGCTAGGATATAGAGGCAACGGCCAAGTGCCAATTCTTCAATTGCCGCAGCGGCTGGCAGCTATTGTGGTTATCCAAGTGTACTTTTGTGGCTTTGCTTTCGATTTTATGGTAAACTGGTTGTGAACAGGTAATTCAAGGAAGTTATATTTAAACATCATAATTGAATCTGCCCTGTGTAATTTGGCTGTTCTCAGGGAGCACAATACCCCTCAATTTACTATGTCAAGTTGCAGTTCAGAAAAATAAGTGTCAAGCCCTCTGTTGAAGAGCACCCTATGTGTGTAAACCACAAAGGGGATTTTCTTGTCACTCCTACAGGGGCTGTGGGTGCAGAGGTCTGATGCACATACATGCTCCTCCACCCACAAGCCCACTTTTAGTTTCAACTGAGGTTTCAGTTTGCAGGCACATAAAACCCATTGTACCAGAAGAACTGCCCTCCACTGAAAATGAATGAGGAAAACCAATTATGCAGGACTGCCTATGGAACCCTGTCAAGTGCTATCTGTTACGAAGGGTCCTATTATTATTATTATTAATAATAATAATAATAATAATAATAATAATAATTTCTTCTCTTTGCATCATACAATCTGCCAGGGATCTGTATCAAGGCAATAGTTTCTATATATTTTTCATGCTGTGAAGCTCATTTCAGTCACATTAAAACAAAATTCAATAACAGATAATCCATATACCAATCCTTAAAAATAAAAATAAAATCCCTCTGTTGTCCTTTGCTCACTGGGACTCTCGCACTCTGGTCTCTGAACTAGGCACTTCTTAAGCTATGTAGTCCCCATCTTTATGTTGTTATTGCTTGTACCACTGTTGTGTTTTGAGATGAAATACATTCAGAAATGCATATTTTGAGAGAAAGTCCATTATTAAAGACAGTTGAAATGCATTTTTTTGTGTGGATTAAGAAAAATCACAGTTTTATGTAGAAACAGAACAGAGTTATGAGTGAACCCATGCATTAGGTGGCTTAGTCCTGATTCCCCTTATCCAGCTTAGATAATGAAGCGGCTATGACTTGTATGAAGGGGCTCCGGTCAGATATCTGACTTGTCTGATTTTGCCAGAAGAGAATGAAAGAAAGAGATCGTGCTAACCAGTCGTCTGCATGAATGGGTGTTCCCAGAAAATGCCAACTTCATTCCAGGCATAATTGACACGGTAGAAGGGAGGGGCCTGTACCCATATCTACACATTCTGAATGGAACGCATTACATGGGTAGAAGGACAAAAATTGTGAATGGCAAAAGACAGTTCCAGAGGTGAAGTGGCTTAGTAGCACACTTTTGCCTAATGTCTGGAGCAAAAGAATTTACATGTTTGTGAAAACTGTTTTTTCATGTGATTAAAAAAAAACAAAAACGGCCAGAGAAATCATTATTAGTTTTTTTTATAGTTTTCTTTTTACAGTTTTCTTTTAAAGACAGCAACCAAAAACCAAAATTTTGAGACTGGAACAGTCAGAGATTGTTTGATGTTTAAATGCAAGAAGGTTAAAAGAACTGTTAGCAACATTTAAAGAAAATGTTGCATTTCCCACCATGCTATTTTTTTTAAAAAATTGAAACACTATGACTGGCATTGTAAATTAGCACTGCTTTTTCAATACTGCTAGCACATACTGCAACAATTAACACTGCATTGTTGATACTCCAGCATTCAAGAAGACAGCAAAGAGAAGCAGTTGCACCATCTCTTTGGAGTCCATGACAAATTATCTGTGGCTACTAATATTTGCACCAGAGTGCATTATCTGTTCCCTATAGCAACAACTGACCGTCTGTTTCTTTTGAAAGCTGAGGCAAGAAATCAGAATCCATAAAGCACTGATATGGTTCCTCTAATTGTTAATGCTTTTCCATGCAATTATGTCCTTTTCCGGAATAATAAAAAAAATTCCCCAGCAGAGGTCAGGATCTTTGTCACTGACTTATTTTACAGATCCTTTTAACATCTGTCCCGCAGACTGCCGACTTCATTAGCAGATAAGAGACCTTAGTGTGCTCAGAGCCTGCTAAGTTCTTGTTCATCTTTACAGCTATGGATTAACTCAGGCTTTCCAGAAGAGGACAACCAGATGGGATAATAGATGTTATTGGGTTGTGACAACAAAAGAAGCCAGAAATGAAGAAATAAATGTCCAAGTTCCAAGACAATTCAGGAGAGTTGTTTGGAGCTTTTTTTTTTATGAACAGTTACAATTGCCAGTCTGTTCTTAAGAAATAAGAAAAGCGGCATTGCACTAAAAAAAGGAAAGTCTATTCATATCTGTGTGGGAACCTAATCAGGCTCTTGTTTCCAGTGACGATGGCTCCCCAGTTGCACCAGGTCTGCGACAAGAATACTCCTTTTGTGTGCCGATTAATGTGGAAGCGATAAAATTTCCTATAAGAGACATATGTGTTTACATCTTGAGATGTGTTGTTTGACAAAAAGCTTTGTTCTCTGCATATTTTCCTTGCAGAGTTTCATGCTGAGTTGTTTTGCTGGAAAGCTTTGATTAGCAAGAATTAGTTTGCCAAAGTAAAATAGGCACTTGTTTCATGAGTCTTCTTGCTGAGCTGTAAATTATAGTCAAATGTAGGAGTGATGGAAAGAAGCATTGATTTGTAGTGCTCTGACCAACTATAGACATAAAAATGTAAGGACATAACTCATTAAAGAACTACAGAGAGATATAAATATTCCATGGTCCGGTTCAAGTTCAGTTCTTTTACCAACTCTTATTTTTACATCAAGTGGCTGTAGATTAACATGTTAACAATGGAAGCAACAGCATTTAACATATTTAGTCATGCTTTCTTCCATTTAACTATTGGTTAATTATTAGTAAAATGAGAAATAACTGAGAGACCTACTGAATGTGCTTGTTCTAACTTGTCAGACAGCTAATGGTAGCAAAACTGTCAGACAAGTAATTACCCTTTGGTAATAAGGATTGTTACCTTAATAATTACTGTTACCATTAATATTATTTAATGTTAATAAGGATTATACCACCATTTGTATTGCATATTGACTTGAATAAGATACAGATTTAATAGCCCCCACTCTATAAATGTGAGGGCCACCTCATTTCCTTTCTATATTACTGGCAAAAGAATTAAGACTGCAATACAGTGCACACTTACTTGGCAGTAAAAACCCCACTAACACTTAGTTTTCAAGTGGTTGGCACAGAATTGTGACATAAATCTACCTTCCATACAATAAATATACTAGTTAAAAATGGGTTTTTAAAAATGCTATAATGGCAAAATGTTTATAGAGGGCAAAGTTGAGAGCAGGTAGATAGGGCTGTGAAACATGGAAATCAACACTCTTGAGTGCAAGGGGTTTATGAGGGTTGCGGGGGTGGGTCGAGTCTGGGAAAAACTCCACTGGGAATGTACAGGGGGAAGAAACTGATTCCAGTAGTGGGTGCCACCAGATAGGTTAGAGCGTGGTGCTGATAATGCCAAGGTTGTAGGTTTGATCCCTGCGTTTATGGGTTGGACTAGATGATGCTCAGGGTCCCTTCCAACTCTATGAGTCTATGAATCTATGAACTCCGGAGAAGAAGAAGCTGTATCTATTAGAACCTAGTGCAAACTCATCCTTTGCATGGAGAGAAAAAATTAACTGTGAAAACCTGTCCATTAAAATGTTAACATGTTTAGCAAATATTACTTGCTATAGTCTAGAAATATTTTAACTAATAGCCTCCCATCCACCCTGTATATAGGCTGCCTTATTCAGATTCAGTTTCATTCCATGACACTCATTAATATTTGAGCTAAGTTAAAGTTGAATACTATAAACGATCAGGATATTAAGTCTTTTAGATTAATTGAGTAGGGCATGTGTTAATGAGCTGGGGGTTTGGCCAATAACATTTCTATTCTTTAAAAGGTATATTAACTTTTCAATTTATTAAGATAATATTTATATTTAACCAAGAAAATCCTTCTGAGACCTAAAAAGTTGGTTGTGGTTTTGTTGCAATATGGTTTTCAATATAGAAACACTGGCATTTATAATATACACATTTGTAACAGGTAACATCTGTGCAAATGAGCTGTTAAATGAAAGAAAATGTGTACTTAAAACCCCCTAACCTAAAACTTGCTACATCATATTCGCACCCCACTTCATATCATATTCATTTTGAAACAGTGAATGTGTAATTTAATTCAATTATGAACTTTAAAAAGTGTGTGTTGTGCTTTAATACACGTACACAATTGTGAATGCAATTTATCCAGTTTTTCCTCAAAAGATCCAGATGCCGAGCCATGGAAGATATTTTTTCTAGCAAGAGCATCTGGTCCCTTGGCAGATTCCATAGGCAGTGGCATAGCAGCTTTGGAGTTGCCTCTGGGTTTATCACATGGTTAGGTTGCTGATGGCTCACTTGGCATTCCTTCTATTTCCTTTTAAGTCACCTAAGCTTTTGTGAACTCTGCTTTCTGCCCTGTTAATTCTCAGAGAGTTCAGTAGTATAGAGACCAGTATGATGCAGTTATGCATCTGATAAAGCTAGGCTCAAAAGAGCTGCTCAGGCTCAAATGGGAAGAGCCCTTGAATAGCTGACCAACATTCTGTATCACTGTAGAAATATATATAACAAATAAAAAAATTGTCCAGTAGCACTTTAGAAGTGTGAAAGTTCATACCAAGAACAAACTTAGTTGGTCTCTAAGTTGCTACTGGACAATTTTATATATATATATATACTGCGTCAGACCAACACGGCTACCTACCTGATTCTATATCACAGACTGCTTTTGATCCACCCATTGGTTTTAAAAGCAGTTTAGCATGGATTGCTGCAGTTCAGAAAAAGCAAACCCAAATCATCCATTTTATGAAAGTAGTTCAATAATTGTATTAATCCTGGCCTTACAATACTCTTTTGATATTTCCAGTATCATCAACGGTAGTAGTATGTCCAGCGAAATTCTGGTTGAAGAACATATGAAGCATAGAAAGAACCTTGCCTCCTACCCAAATACTGACTTAACTGTAGAAAATGAAAGCCAATGCAAAGGCTTTGCAAAGGCTACTCTGATATGTCTTTTCTCAGACATAGCAGCAGAGGACATGAGGGAGAAACAAGTACAAGTCTCATGCACAGCAATTCATATGTCAAAACAAGTACATTATTCCTGAAGATTAAATGGAGCCACTGCAAAGGTTAGATAATTGGTATAAGGTTCCAACAGGCAAGTGATCAATATGTCCACCATCAACCTCTAGGCAATGATTATTAGTGAAGATCATAAAAGGAATGTCTTTGCCATAATTGGGTTGTTAGCCAAAATGAGAATAGCCTATGTTGCATTCAAGCAGGGAGGGGTCCACCCATGAGGCAAGGTGAGGTGACCACCTTGGATGGCAGAATCCACAGGGGCAGCAAATCTGGCCTCCAAGGAATGCATTGCCCACTGTTGCTGCTGTGGTGGCTGCAATGGTGAATCTCTTTTGCTGTTTTTTTGAGCTACAATCTGGTTGCATATTGATGAATTGATGTCAACCATATTGATCAGAACCTCCCAGTTTCTCATTTTATTTTTCTGCCACTTCTTCCTCTCAGTTCTGTATCTCAGATTCTCCCCTTGCGCCCCCACCCCACCCCATCTTCCCCCTTGTACCTGACCACTGGAACTTTGACCTGGCTTTCCTTCATTACTAGCATCAACATTAAATTCAAATTTCCCATCCTCAGCTATAGTGATGGAACTCAGTCCCATCCTTTCCTTTCTCTCTCACTTTTTTAGCTTTAACCTTATTTTTTTTCTGCATACCGCTTGTACCCTATGTCTGCTGGCTCAATGTAATAGATCCAAGTTTGGTCTAGGATGCTGTCTTCCACTTCATTCTCCGTGCAGCTGATTTGGCTTCAGTTTCTGGAGCAACAAAGGAAGCAGAGTGATGTTTTCATTTTGAACTAATCTTAAAACGTTATTGCTTCAACCGTGTCACTATCCTTTTGTGAGCCAACGTAAAAATGTGGCAGTAACATTTAGAGCTGCAGTGGTACCTCAGGTTAAGTACTTAATTCATTCCGGAGGTCTGTACTTAACCTGAAACTGTTCTTAACCTGAAGTACCACTTTAGCTAATGGGGCCTGCTGCTGCCACCGCCCAGCCGGACATGATTTCTGTTCTCATCCTGAAGCTAAGTTCTTAACCTGAGGTAATATTTCTGGGTTAGCGGAGTCTGTAACCTGAAGCGAGTGTAACCTGAAGCGTATGTAACCCGAGGTACCACTGTATTTTAAATTTATAACTAGACTGAAAAGAGCTGTTGTGATGCATGGATTTCTGTGGTGACTGAATAACGCATCTTAAAATTCATGATTTTGGACTCTGTTAATATTTATTTATTTATTTAGTCACTAGTCAAGAGCTACAAAGCTAGCATTTCAAATATTCCTGTTAAAGTATCCACTTTCCAAAGTTTGGGGCAAACAAGTTTTTTAAAATTATTGTTTCCCATTCAAATTTGTTTCCTGCTCATCATTGGCAATAGCGTGGGGGGTGGCAGGGGCCCTGCTGCCCCAGGCACACAATGGGGAGGGGCACATGAACCAAGTAACCCCCGTAGAGATCCCCATTGCGTGACTGCGTGTGCCCTGTCCCTGCACAGCACGCCAGCGCCCGCCTGCTGGCGCAAGGGTGGGGTGAACAGAGCGTGAAGAGCATCTGCGCCTCACCCCCGATGAGCAGGCACTCTTGTACCGGGCGGGGGCCGGCAAAGTGCAGAGGGTGTTCTTCCCCCTCCAGTTTCCCAGCCCTTGCTCCCTGATGAGCAGCCAGGCCACAGCCGGCAGCTCCACTCCCAAGTCAAGCCAGCCCCGGGGGCGGGGCAGAGAAAGGAGAGTCAGCAGCAGCACTGCCACCCCTCTCCTCAGCTGGGTGACACCGTGTCAGGATGCTGCCAAGGCAGTATTTTCGCACCCAGCCAGGAGCAGTGGGCTCTCTCCATGCCCCGCACGGCTGGAGCATATGCCGCACTGATGTTGCCCATGGCTTCAATGGTTTTCTAAATTTCTTATGGGTTATTAAATGAGCAGTTAAAGTAATATTCTCAGAACTGGATTTAATAATCTGGGACCAGTACTTCAGCAGTGGTATAGTGGAGGTAAAGCACAGGGAAGTACTGTTGTAGGACATTTTTCTGGCAGGAGCAATGATATCACCTGGTGGAGCAAGTTGAGTTCAGGGTGGGATGCGAGTACCCCACTTTATTTGCATAATAATAACCCTGTGAGATATGCTAGTCTTTGGCCAAGTGAACTCACCAGAGACCTTTGTGGCTGATTAGGGATGCGAACCAAGACTTCAGCTAACGTCCAGTGTGCTCATTTGTGCACCACTGTTTGCTAGTCTCCTATTCTATGACTGTCAGCTGATCCTAATAAATTTTTATTATGTATTATTAAATGTGTATACCACCCTTCAGCTGAAGATCACAGGGCTGTTCACAGTACATATATTGTGTATGCTCCTGTTTGAGAGGGAGTGTCCGTATGCGGGAAAAATTATAATAAATCAAAAATTTTGAATTCTCCTTTAAAGTGTGGTTATGAAGGTTGTCATGGTAAACTCCTGAACTTCAATATGTACCACTATATCACAGTTCCGGGCTCTGAAACTAGGTTTAGTGGCAGTGGCCAACATGATCACATTCTTTAATAACTGCAGCAGCATATATACATTGAGTCATCTTTATACAATAGCAGGATATCCCTTTTGGTAAGGTTATGAAATGTCAGAGAAATTATGGGATGCTTTAGCACTTCAGTGTTTGCCTGATGTTGGTTTTAGGAAAACTGGGTCACATGGAATGTAAGCTGCTTCTAAGTGGGGACTCCACACAGTACTATTCTAGACTTGTACCCATTGGAGTGTCTATGCTCAGGATGATTGATGTACTTTCTTACTTTGTGGATGTATTACCTCTGAAAAGTAATGCCTTTGGACTAAGAATGTCCCAGTTGCCTTGCTGACATCCTTGAATGAATTTGCCTGAAGCTGGAATAGGGATAATTGAAAACTCGGTAGTGTACATTCTCTTCTCTGTCTATCCTAACTGTGTCTCTGGACTTGAAAATTCCAGGACTTCCAAATGGGCTATCTGTTGCAGAGTACAAGTTGAAGAAACTGGACCCACCATTGAGGGGGGGGGGGATTCTGGTCTGTTTCCTGGGACATGGTATGAAGTCCCAAGTTGAAATGGGACAAATTGGTGGACAAATACAGCAATGTGAACTATGTGAAGAAAGTTGGGGTATAAATGTTCAGACAGACCTTGCTAACTAACAAACAAAACCCTAGATTCCTTTTCTTCCCCAGTTGTTTTGTTCTGTTGTCATCACTCTGCTTTAATAATCGAATCAAATTTGCACAGGAAATGCATATATCATATACAAAAACTTTTGCAACAGTTCCCAACTGCTAGTGCACAATTAAATAGCCCACTAAAAGGAATGATCCTAAGAATGAGCATGTTAGTTTATGTACCATAGCCAAGGGGGTGTTGATAAGATACCAGGCTCCAGCAGCAGAACAAGTAATTACTCAGTACATAAAGAAGAGTTGTGAAATCAAGAGTTCAAACAGAGGAGCAAAAACCACAGCATTCATCCTAAATATTTAATTTCAGCAAAATCTTAAAGCATGTGTCCTGTTTGTTTAGGGATTGCGTGACCTAGCAGTGGAGTGGAATAGGTTGGTCTTGCCCTTCAGGTGATATATGGAAGTCTTACCTATGGATGTGAATGGGCTTTCCCCCAGTCCAGTGGGTCGAGTACTATAGACTTAGAGAAACAAACAGAAAACTATTGTTTTTTCTCTGTTAAAAAACTAAAGTACTGACTCTGCATGCATTTGTCTAGCCACTGAGTCATAGAGCATGTGCAGTATTGTGTAACTTTCATTTCTTTGGAGGCTTGTTATATTAGAAAAAGTGCTCCAAAGAAAGCAACAATTATGACATAAGCACATCTGGCTCTTGCAAATTATTCTTTATTAAGCTTTCATTTAATTACATGTGCTGAAAGGTCTGCTTTTGATTACTGTAATTTTTTTTATTTGTCCATCTGAATGATAGTCATGTTGGGAATTACATACAAACCACCTGGTTTTTTTCCACTAATAAGGCAAATTTTATACAGATTTACTTGTTAAAGAGGGAATAGGATCTTCCCTGTTTATAGTGGTAGAACTATTGCTACTGCTAATTCAAGGTGAGGTTTTAAGGTTGGTTGCTAGAGAGAACTTGAACTTACCTAAGCTTTGTTCAGAAAATACCATATACCTGTAATGTTTTAGGAAGAGTTATACTCATATTCCCACCTTTATAAGTAGGAATTTACGCTTCTATTCAAATTAGCACTAAAATATATTTGAAATGTAAATTGTACTTACAGGTAAATATAAAATCTGTTGACTGCCTCATATCAGTGAAAAACAGCAGGGTGTTAAACAAAAGAAATATGTGCAGATTACTATAATATTGCATGATAGTTACTTGGGGTTTTGAGATGTGCTTTATATTCAAGACAGCTAACCACTTTCTCCATTAAGCTGCCATTTAGGCCTTAACCTAGAAGTCTTGCCTCTTGAGTGACACTGCCCAGTGCCTGCCAGGAAGATGGGAGATTCTCTGTTACCACACCCCCAGGGCCTCAGAATATTTCAGCTATCATTTATAAAGTGCTGAAGCAGATAATCCTAAGGAGAAGAGTTGTTCTTGTTTTGCAGCAACTCTATGCCGCTCAGTTGGCCAGCATGCAGGTTTCGCCTGGAGCAAAGATGCCCTCCACCCCTCAGCCGCCAAACACAACAGGGGCACTTTCACCTACTGGGATGAAAAATGAAAAGAGAGGGACCAGCCCTATAACTCAAGTTAAGGTATTTCTTTAAGTTTCCTTTCATTAATACTCCCACTGATACAATGCAATATAATAATTTCAAACAAGCAAATCCGGTGGTATTTCAGCTCTCCGGGGTCAGACCTTATGACCCTGTGAACTGTGCCCGCCACATATAACAATCATGCTGCTATTTACTTGTTTACAAGGTATATGGCGAGTCTGGAGACCCCAGTCTTGCCAAGGGCCTTTGGTTGTGACTCTTTTCCAGTTCACTGTTCTTTTGAGTGTCAATATTCACCAGCCCTTCATATGACTGGAGATACTGTTGTTTCAGGATAAGTTATAACCTAGTTTTTAAATATATTTTACACTGCTTTCAACTATTACAATTTATCACTCGCCAGTTCCAGAGTTTCTTATTTTATATTTATATTGGTGTTCTCAAGTAAGCATGCATGAGATGAGAGAGTGAAAATCCAATGTGGGTTCACCTTTCTCATTCCTAAGCATGAGCAACATGAAAATCCCTGTGATTGAGGAGGTGTATGAGCCAGGGGTGTATCTGCTCTGTTAAGTCCTATGTTTGACATAACTTGGGCAGGGCATCTGGAACATGTGATGTGTAATACGATAGTGATTGCGTAAATCTTACTAGTATTGCATGAAAAGACTGGCCGTCATGCCAAATGGTTTAACAAGAACTAGCCTTAACTATGTAAAATGGCAAGCAAAACCACTCCTCTTCTTATTTTACAAATTGGATCATTTCATTTAAAGAAGCCCCAGATAAAAATAAAAATTACAGGAGGATGGCTGGAGGGGGGAAAAGACCATCACTGCCAATTGATTGGGAGAGAAAAAAAGCCATGACTGCAGATTGATTGGACCCTTGTTGATAGCACACTGTTGCTGGTATTTGGCGTGCTTCTATTTGGTTTTGATGTATTGTCAAAAGCTCATGCATACTTAATTGTCACTTGCTTAGAGAACTAGGAAGCTGCAGTGTGATACTTGGCAGCAGCATGCAATGACTAAACTGCCTCCTTTCCAGCTTTCTGTAGGCAGCTGGAAATTATTTGTTTGTTTGCTTTAGGCCTATTTCCCACATCAGCCATCCTTCCTTAAGAAATATAGCAAAAAGATTTTTAACAAAGTGAAACAGAGATAATAATATGCTTATACAATTAAAAGTATAAAATATCATTGGCTGAAAGTGCAGTATGCCCCCTTTAACCTCAGACACTAATAACCAGCCTTAATTCAGAAATGGAATTCCCCATTGTTTGTGTTGCATGTTTCCCAGCATAAAAGAAAACAAGGCAGCCGCTTTGTGCTGCATGGATCCTCTGTGCGTGAGTGGCACTGAGGATGCTGGTTCACAGCAGATGAGTTGTCTGAATCATCTGCAGGTTCCGTTCATTCCTTCATTTCTGTTATTTGATTATGAAACTGCTGTTTCGAACATGTTGGGATTATATGAATAGAGCCACCCCTACCATTGAGCAGAGTGAGGCAGTAGGTGCTAGATATGGTGATGGCAACCTCCTGGCTGTTCCTACCCTCCTGAGCTGGCTCTCTTCAAGCAGCAATGCTTGCTTGCTCTTGACCACTGCAGTCTGTCTGACTTGCCTCACCTCATTTTCTTTTTCCAATGTGTCAGAGGTGGCACTCATCCTTTGCTTTGCTGATTTGACACATGCTGTTGCCACTATAATTGCATTGCTATAGTTGTTTGAATAGGCAACAAGCAAGCAGCAGGCAGACAGTGAGCAAACAGTGTCAAGGTGTTGTAGGCCAGAGCTGAGTGTGCCACATAACCAGCCTTGCACCCCAAAACTTCCTTCGGGTGCAGTGGAGGACATTATTCCACCCCTAGCGGATTCAGCTGCCAGTCCAGTTAGCTAGCTTCTGTTGATAGAATGATAGAATGGATCTTATCCTTTGTTTGAAAAAGCAAAGTACTGGTATGTTGGACTGCAGAAGGTCCCAGGCTCTATCCCTGGTGAGGCTGGGAATGACCCCACCTGAAACCCTGAACAGCTATAGCCAATACTGAACTAGATGGACCAATGGCCTGACTCAGTATAAGGCAGCATCCTGTGTTCCTATCACTGTAAATTTTTAACAGAAACACATGCAAATTCCACAGGACCAGATAGCAGATACCACATCTTCCAGGCTAGTTCTTCAAGGGGAGATGAGAACACTTTCACACTGTTCTTGAACACAGTTGCAGGGAGCCCCCAGTCCTGGGTGGATGTGATAGTGCATCAGCAGGACAGTAGCCAGGGTCCTGGGAAATGGTGGATACCTGCTTCACATCACATTATCAATTCCACATTCAGCATGGGAAGCTGAGATTCAAATTCCACCATCACCTCCTTTAGCCATGTGGACAAGGATGAGATCCATGATGGGCTTGAGATCTTTGTATGCGTGGACTTTGAGGACTGAGTGGCTGGGGCAACCAGGTTCTTAATGTCATTGTCCTCAAAGCTTTCTCATATTACTGTCTCCCTCACTTAATCACATATGACTGACTGAGGAAAAAGCTATATTTTATGTGACTTCTACAAATAAAGAGGGGTGCCTATATAGCAATGGCCTAGAAATAACATAAACTGTAGAAGTAAGTGCAGTATGCGGGAAGGTAAACGGCGTTTCCGTGTGCTGTACTGGCTTGCCAGATGCAGCTTGTCACGCTGGCCACGTGACCCGGAAGTGTCTCCGGACAGCGTTGGCCCCTGGCCTCTTAAGTGAGATGGGCGCACAACCCCAGAGTCTGTCAAGACTGGCCCGTACGGGCAGGGGTACCTTTACCTTTACCTTAAGTGCAGTATTATAAATAGTTACTTATTTGTTGCATTGGGCGATTTAATACATTATATATGACAAGTTGTACCATGCAGAATCTCTACTTGACAGCAAGAAGAATGGCAATGATAAGATAATGGACTGCATTATTGTATCCTTTCATATATTTCTAAGCTTTGAAGTGTTCAGTGCTGTCTGCTAAAATATAGATGATGCACCCTTATATCTAGCATATCTCAGCTTTGGGCATATTTTAAATGAGAGAGCCATGTTACCAGGCTCTTTTCATTTTAATTACAGAAAATCAGTATTCTGCTATTCCAAAAATGCTGTGCCTGGCTGATTGCTAACAAGTTCAACACAGGGTACAAGCTCTCCAATGAACAGGGTGAGGTTGTATTGTAAAGGGGAGTGCTAGATCAAAAGAACAAGTTTCTTAGATTTTTCCTTTTCCAGAAGTTAGATGTTGCATAAGAGTAGATGTGCACAGTTTTTTGCTATGTGAGTTCCTCCAACCCCATCTCCCCTCATTTCACTTGTACAAAAGACACCACAAAGCGAGTGAATACCTGATAGTTATAATTATATGACTATGGATCTGCTTAAATCAGAACCAAATTTATATTTCCCTTGTCTAGATTTACATGCATGCCATAAATTAGAGACTGACACATTAGTGCTTTTTTAAAAGTGCTGTAAAACACATCCCCAAAGCATAGTCTGCCCTTTGCAATATTTAACAATAATCATATACAGTCGTACCTTGGAAGTTGAATGGAATCCTTTCCGGAAGTCTGTTTGACTTCCAAAACATTCAGAAACCAAAGCACAACTTCTGATTGGCTGCAGGAAGCTCCTGCAGCCAATCGGAAGCGCCGCGGAAGCTCCATCAGACGTTTGGCTTCCAAAAATAGTTCGCAAACTGGAACACTCACTTCTGGGTTTGTGGCGTTTGGGAGCCAAAACATTCAAGAACTAAGCTGTTCGAAAAATAAGGCACAACTGTATCTAGTTCCACTTGAACTATGTCAAGCTGTATGATGCACAAGAAAAGAATGGGATGTTTTAATGAGAACTGTAAACATATTGATAAGCCTTGCTCTGCATAGCCTGTTGAATTCTAAGATCACAATACAGTATATTTTCTTTTTCATTCATCATGTTGTGTAGCTATAGACAATACTGCAGATTGCAACAGAATTCCTTAAAACTTTCCAGTCTGATCCACATAATAGCTAATAACTTGATCTTGCACTCTATTGCTGTAAGATACCACATAGATTCTGGCATTAAAATCCATTTGCCCTACAGTGGGGCAAATGCTTCAGCAGTGCTATCGCGGCAGTAACAACCTCTCTCTCCCCCTCTCCAGATTTTTAGGGGGGAATGCAGAAATGTTTCGCAAAGATATTGTGACCAAAAAGTCTTGTACAAAAAAAACAAGTCAAGGATATCTAGGGGTAAACAAATATAAATGTTTAAGGTATTAAGTATCTTTTCCTGTTTAATTTTACCCATAACCCTACCATTCACACACATATATACAGTCTGTTTTATAGTTCCAATAACTTTTCAAATAGGCCCAGTAAAGCAACACAACTGAGCTGCTAGAATTTTTCTTAAATAATTCTTTGTAAATGCCCTGGGTTAATTTAGATCTCAGAAAACACATTAGGAAATTAGGCAGTAATGCGAGCTAATTCAAATTTTAATTTGCCAAAAAGAATGATCCAGCTCCATAGTTAATGTAAATAGAGGCATAGCACAGAGAAATTAATGAGGTTTTCCTTTCATTGAATCTTCAAGGAGTGTAGATAATTAGCTTCTTTTGTTATTATTGCAAGGAAATGCAGCATTGTCTAGGAGGTGTAAAATAGCTGTGGCTTCCAAAGTGATAATGTGTTTCATTTGTCTTTTTCTAATAATTATTTACATTAAACTCTTTTAGGATGATGCCGCACAGCCACTGAATCTTTCAGCCAGACCTAAGACAGCGGAACCTGTCAAATCCCCGACGTCACCAACACAGAACCTCTTCCCTACTAGTAAAACCAGCCCCGTGAATGCAGCCAATAAAAGTGGAATCCCCAGCCCTATTGGTGGAACTCTGGGAAGAGGATCTTCTCTAGGTACTCAGAAGGGGAGAAATGCTGGGGATTTAGCATAGGAATGGGCTGGCAGGCTTTGTATGGTCTACATAGTTAACTACTTGAGTGCATGCTCACACTATATTAGCATTTATGAGATAATGCGACTCCACAAGAACTTATGCTATGATAAATTTGTTAGTGTTTCAAGTGCCCACAAGACTTTTGCTTTTTGCTTTTCCTGACACAGGTGAACAAGATTATCCTTCTTGAAATTATCTATGTTAGCTGAGCCTGGGTATGCAGCTTTGCTTTAGAACTTAGAATGCCATGCTGGGACGGACCAATGTCTATCTAGCCCAACATGCTTTACAGTAAACTGAAGTCAGCAGATGCTAGATCCAGGTGCTATTGAATGCCTGCGGCCATTAGCCCCCGTGGGTGGCGCTGTGGGTTAAACCACAGAGCCTAGGACTTGCCGATCAGAAGGTCGGCGGTTCGAATCCCCACAACGGGGTGAGCTCCCATTGCTTGGTCCCTGCTCCTGCCAACCTAGCAGTTCGAAAGCACATCAAAGTGCAAGTAGATAAATAGGTAGCGCTCCGGCAGGAAGGTAAACGGTGTTTCCGTGCGCTGCTCTGGTTCGCCACATGACCCAGAAGATGTACACCGGCTCCCTCGGCCAATAAAGCGAGATGAGCGCCGCAACCCGAGTCGGCCACGACTGGACCTAATGGTCAGGGGTCCCTTTACCTTTTATCATTGACAGTGGTCAGGGATAATGGGAGTTGTAATCGAGGAATAACTGGAAGCCCACATGTTCCCCAACCCTGAGCTTTGTACTCCAGCAGCATCGACCAGTGTTTCTAGCTTCTTCCCACTCCTGATTTGGGAAAGAAACAAATTATTGTCCTTTGAGGCCATTGATTTCTAAAGCTTCACTTAAAAAAAAACCCTTTTTATTGATTTAGCACATCCCTCATGTGCAAGCGCACACCCTTATGAACAGCTCCTGCTTGTTTCTGAAAATCTGTTGTGGTGGAAATGTGACTGGTGGTACAGTTCACACAAGGACAGGACACCCCAAAACTCATACAGCACAGTACTTTTCCTCATGTAGGGACAGTTTCCTTCAGTACTAGGTTTTGGTGTCTCTACAGGAGTGACCTAAAAGTAGGGCTTCTATAGTGCAAAAGAAAACACATTTATGGTTTCAGCAAGAAAGAAAAATTACTTTCTGTAGGTATTTTATTTTTAGGTGCTTGCACTATTTTTCAAAATGATGATATAGCAAGTTTGTATTATAGAATTTATACCATCCTATTGGGACATGGAAGAAGAGGATATAAGCATTCTGTACAGTATGCAAAGAACAGCTGTTTGCATTTTGTTCTATATCATTACCTTATTTTTATCATCATCATTACACACACACACACACACACACACACACACACACACACACACACACAAATCCCTATTCTCAATTTTCCTGTATGCAGTAGCCAACAGAGGTAGTCATAACCTGCAGAGCCTTTCTATCTCTTTAAAGAGCTCCAGAGTTTCAGAAATGATGCTTCTTTTGCCGTTTTCTCTTTCCCTACCTCTCTTTTGTTGGGTCATGGCTGGCATCAGGAGTCATCATTGTTGGGACTCTAACAAGGCTCACACTTTAGAGGAAGCCAACTGTTGATGCCTGGAGCCAGCTCCTCCCCCTACTTCTTGCTATTGCTGATTGTTCATCTGCCCTCTCCAAATGAGAAAGAAGTGGCAGGAGGAAGGAAGAGGAGTAGCAACTGCCACAGCTTCCCTCTGGACAGTGGACTGGGCTGGACCCCTCCTCCCCCCCCAAAAAAATCTGGAACCAACTTTAAATCAGGGGTGGGCAGACTTCTGGCTTGTGGGATTTACACTGTGTTTTTGTCTAGGTCCATGAACGAGAGCCAGGTACTAGTCTTAGATGGTAGAGTGAATGGCTTACTATGTCCCATAAGCCAGACACAGGCCAGACATGATATATCCAAGTACAAATCTACATTCATGTTGGGGATTTGAAACACAATTCTAAAACTGTCTAGTGGACATGGCCAAAGGAAGGCAATTAATATTCGTATTTCACAGAACAGGAACACTGAGACTGATAAGTGATTAGTACAAAGCCAACCACAGCAGAGAAATATATATATATTACTTTCTGTTTCACCTGCTGTCTTTGGGAGTCAGAAACTATTGCTCCTTTGTTGCTAACCAGGGAAAGTTCTGCTAGTAGATATGAATGCACAATAGGAACCAGGTTAAGAAGCAGATAAGAGTTTTTAAAGAAACAGGATACTTTTCTGGGTAATGACCTAGAACTATTAAATACTGGATAAAGATGGAAACAAGTTTATGAACCTGAAAATACTCATATCATTTCGTATGGGGTTCTCCAACATTGCAGGATCATTTGGAACATGAGCAGTCATCTATGTAAGAGAGGGTTGTGATGAGACTCCTCTCAGGAGGGAGTTCCAGAGTCAGCACAGCCCACTCCTGGTCCCAAATAGGCATATGGGGGGGGGGCAGTAGGCAGGTAGATTCATATGAGAGAAGGTAGTCCTATAAATATCCTAGTCCTGAAACAATGTGCTTTAAAGGCCATGGCCAGCATTTAGAAATGGACTTGGAAACAAATTGGAAACCAATGTTTGTATTTTAGAAAGGAAGTCCCTGAATATGACCCCTGCAAATAGCCTAGCCAAGTCATTCTGTGCCAGTTTTTCCAAGCACACTTCACAAGCAGCTCTCCATAGAGCACATTGCAGTAATTCAGACTTTGTCCTTGCCAAATGGGCAGTCTACAGAAACAGGCGTTGGTTGCCCCTACCCTCCTCCGCAAGCCTAAGCTGGGCAAGAGCACAGTGACTTCAAGTTTCCAACACTGAATGATTTTTGTCCTTTGGTATAAACATAGAAAACCCTTCCAGAAGTCTATTCTTTTCTACACTCAAATTCATCTGCAACAGCAATGAGAGTTTATTTAATTCCTACCCTGACTTGTTTCTCAATCAGAACTGAATCAAAATGTATTGTCTCAGTATATTTACAGCTCTGGACTTTTATTTAAGTGCTATCTCACATACACTCACACACATGCTGTAACATGCCATTCCATGACTAGAGTGCCTTGAATCCAGAATTATACAATCACAACAGAAGACTAATTAAAATTCACATAGTATTTACCTGGACACCTGGTATTTTGGTTGCTTTTCTCATGCCCTAACCCAAATGCTGCTTCATTGGGCAGAGTCCTTTTGTTAGGTGTTTTGTGTGATGGCAAGCCACTGTTATCTTGTTGGGTAAAATTGTCCCCTCCCTGCTTCCTTCAATAAAAGACTCTCAAATCTTTTATTTAACAACATGATAAAATCTGAAGCGGTGAGTGTAGTGGCAACAGGCAAAGCTAGCTTAGGCTAGCTCGCAAGATGGTTGTGAGGAGAAAATAAAAGAGGGGCCACTCCGTTATTTGTCCTACCCACATGAATTCATGGAGGGCTATTAAAAATAAATATAGACAGTTGTAGCATTATGCAAACATAATGTCATGATGTAAATATAATATAAAAACAAAAAAATACATGTGTTCGTCTTTATAAATGCATTGTAAGAATTTATGGCAAGCCATTCTAGGTTATGAAATAGTTTCAGTAAGCCATTTAGTATTGGCTGTGCTATACTGACAGCTCTAAGAGGACTAGTTGTAGCTAAGTAGACATTCATCTGGGCAGAAAACAAATCTGGATTTATGCCCATGTCTTAATTATTGGTGCATGTATTTAATGAACAGTAGACAGGGCGATACCCAACTTTGTGGGAGTGTTCATCACCTGCAGTCCTCCACCTCTTTAAAATTTGCCCTGGAGGATCCCCAAACCCTCTAGAGCAGATTTGGGAAGCTCACACGGAGCTTCAGTAGGTGCTCTTCACACTCTTCATGGTATTCCATTGACAGATGGAAGCAGTAGGGTATTTTTAAGTTTGCATCACCTGGAATAAGTAGGTGGTCTGCAACGATTAGTTGGGTGTGTTCAGTCTTTCATGCAAACAAAGAGGAAGTTTTTTAATGGACTGCTTTCAAAAATATCCTTAAATAAAGATTATCTTTGTTGTTTCCAGACATCCTTTCCAGTCTTAACTCACCTGCCCTGTTTGGGGACCAGGATACAGTCATGAAAGCCATTCAGGAGGCTCGAAAGATGAGAGAACAGATCCAGCGGGAGCAGCAACAACATCATCATGGCCTTGATGGAAAACTTCCTGCCATGAATAACATGGGTCTAAACAACTGTAGGACTGAAAAGGTACTGTATTCCTCTCCTGTCATTTCTTCTGCTCATTTTTATTTGCAATTCTATCCAGCCAGTGGTCTCTGAACCTCATGTTGCAGCTTCTGCATTTCTAGTTTCAATCATCTTTGTTACTGACAAAATAGTTATTCACTATGTCATATAGTTCTATTTTAAAAAAAGACAAAACTTCCTCCTCTTACAGGAAGAAGGAAATTTAGACTCCCAAACATAAGATCATCATCATCATTATAGGGCATATATACTAGCATTTGGGCTGGGGGAGTCATGTCTGATGAAATGAGTGGACATAAGAGCCTTGATGGAGCAGCAAAAAGTTAATCTAGTCCAGCATCCTTCTTTCCACAGTGGCCAACTAATGCCTATGGAAATTCTATGCACTTTCTCCATGTCATGCAAAATTTTATAAGTCTCTGTTACGTCACCACTTACTTCTTATTTTTCTGTATTAAAGAGCTCCAAATGCATTAGCCTACCTAAAAGGGAAATATCTGGTCTTAAGTAGTCATAACAGAAGCAGAGGAGGGTGAGCACATGGACACGATGCTTGTTCCCAATTTAGCAATCCTCAGCCAGAATCATTGCATATGAACTGGGCTATATTTTTCAAACTGCTGTCCAAAGCTGCCTTGCATGAAATCCATTAGCTCAGCATTGTGTGCAGTGACTGGTAAGAGCTCTTCAGGGTATCAGACAGGGCATATTCCCAGGCTTACCTGCAAATGCTGTAGATTGAAGCAGGGACCTTCTGCATGCAAAGGAGGTGCTTTACCACTGAGCTGTGCCCATTTTCTCATGCTGAATTAGGACAAAGGGGAGGGACCATAAACACAACCTTCAGTCTGACATCTGTCTTTCTGTGAATTTTAGAGTCAGAATGGTCATAGCCTTTTAATGACTAATCTGTTTCCAGTACTGATTTTTGAAAGTGCTCTGGGAAAGTTGAATAGGAATAGTAACTAATATGGTGCTGTTGATAGGCTGTGTGATGATTACGGGACAATTTACTCTACTTTATCCTCTCTCAAAGGGTTTTTGAGAAGTTAAAGTGAGATAAAGTATGTACTGCAGTCATTTGGTATGAAAACAAAGATGGAAAAAAACCTGTCTGCAGAGTACCTTGATGACTTCAGCCTTATAAGAAATAACTTCAGATCAGCATGCCCATAGTTTGCAGCCATTGCTTTCTTGCAGTGATCTGTTCCAGTCTCATCACAACAAAAGCTTAGAGATTTTTAAATTTTAGTTGTATTGATTTTTCCTCTTAATCCAAACAATATCCAAACAATATTCGTCAGCAGCCAAGAGTTTGTGACACTGGCAGCTGCCTTCAAACTGTTTCCTCGAGAGGAGAGTAGGGTTCTGAGGTTCATTGCCTATAGTTGCATGCACAAAGGGAAAATAACCCTGCAAATAGAACTCTCAAAGACAAGATGCCTTTTCATTTGCATTTTATATGTTGCCTTATTACATTTCTCAGAACAACAAGGGGAAAAGGGTCTGTGTCTGTAAAAGGGATTTGCTTAGCCCCTTGCCCCTAGAGGATTAACAGTGGTTTGCAAAACAAATTCATAACCTAATAAATATTTATTTGCACAAGCTTTAGTTTAAATGATAGCATTTTAAAACTCATTTAATACAGATTATCTCTGTGAAAGAATTCTTTGTAACATGAAAGAACTGAAGGTTTGATGTGTGACGAAGGTCAACAGGATCTCTGGAAGTCCAGACTTCAGATTCCAAACTGACCCCAAATCAGAATGGGGAGCTTTTAGGGCTTGTTTATAAACCTATGTTTGTGAAAAGCACTGAAAACTGTGAGCTAATTCCACTGGCCTCTAGAATTATATAGACACCTATAGTATTACGAAAAACAGTGCTTATATTAACAGAATTTCACAGGACAAGCTGCTAAATCATGGGCAGACTGATCCACACACTACATGAATATTGATAATCGGGCTACAAACTTCTATGCATACCAGTGCATCAAAAATCAAGTAATACATCTTTGAAGTTTTTAATATGTAACGCTGTACTGTTTTAACACTGATTGGGAGCCGCCCAGAGTGGCTGGGGAAACTCAGCCAGATGGGCGGGGTATAAATAATAAATTATTATTATTATTATTATTATAAATAGTTGTCTTTTGCCTAGACCAATTTTCAGTACTTCTTTTCAAAAGGAGTTTCTGAAGATGCACATCTAAATCATTAGGTTTGCTTCTTCAAATACCAGCTAATGATAAATCTTTTTTAAAAAACAAAGAAAAAAACCCACCATCTGTTTGCCTGACAAGCAGAATTCAGTTGGTGGCGAAGTTCGACTGACCATTTGCAGGATTTTTTTTAGTTCAAATAAACTTGAAACTGTAAAGTTGAAACTGCAAAGGAATATTCTCCCAAGCTCAGCCACATAATTTTGAAGTCTAGCTGTAAATTGCCTTTGAATTGTCACATTTAAATCCATTTTTCTTTGCATTAATTATATTAATTTTAAAAGCATCTTACAGTTTTATGAAGATTTATAGAAAAGTAAAGGCGCATTTTTAAAAACGTAAAAGTTGACAATTAGGTGATGTGATTTTGATTGTGTGGGGAAACTGCCACAAAATGTCAGGCTGTATAGAGCCTTAAAGGCTAGAATAAGCACTTTGAGATCCCAGAAGCAAATCGAAAGCTAATGGAGCTACTATGAGATTGGAGATATATAGTTAGACTTGCAAACATTTGGATGAATGGAAGCTTCTGGGCTCTCTTAAAGGCAGCCCCATGTAGAGAATATTACCATAATCCAGAGTGTGAGATATATATATATATATATATATCCTTTCTGTCCTCTCTGGCAATACATTCTTTGCTTTTTTCTTAGTTTTAATAGCCTTTTCTAAATGGCATGTCTTCATATTTTTGCTCTTGATGCTTTTCAATTTCTAGGTTCAGTTTTAAACACCAGAATTTCAAGCTATATTTCAGGGGCAATGCTTTAAGCAAAATATTTGTTCCAGCAATAAACCCAGTAGTTTACTTTTCTGCATGCATATCCAAGACAACAATTACAATTCTGTAAAACACTCAAATCCTTTTGATTCTTCATCAGCTCTCTTAACAAATATTTGGGCTGTTTGAAACATCACTGGTGTAATACTGCCCCCTTTTATTAGAAATGAAAAGCATGCTGGACACTTGCAATCTGTTTGAGTCACATGGTTAATTCAAATATATGTGGCTATATGACAGTATTTAAATTAGGCATAGGATTAATAATATTGAGCCATGAGAACCAAAGCGCATTGTTCAGCTGCAGTGTGTGAGGCTTTGTCTTAAGTTTCCTTTTATATCATGGCATGAGAGTTTCTTGCTCTTTTTTGTATGCAAACACAGTTTTGAGAGAAAAGGTTTGGCTTCTTCATATGCATTTAATTACCATGTTTGCTTGGAATATATATATATAATATTTCTAAATCAGTTTCGCTCCCCCCATATAGAACAATGGGCCACACTGCTGTTTTTGGCGGCCTGATCACGAATTAAATTTTCTTTTGAATAGCTAAATGATTACAATACCGCTCACACACGCTGAAGTGCTGTGCCGAATGTATCTGATGCAATTAGAATTTGATCATGTAGAAATGCAGAATGGAGCATCTTATGGAAAGGTGAGCCCTGTGACTTTAGCAGTGTCTTTTAAAAGAGATATTGTAGTCATGGAGACTTTCAGCAAACAGGTTTACATTTGTGGTTCCATTTAAAAATATTGTGGTGATAGCACTGCTAGAAATAGCCTAATTTCAGATGCTTTCATGAAAGTTATCCTTTATATAAATACATAATCCTGAAGAAATAAGAGCAGTCTTAAGGCCCAATGCCCTGCTTAGTGGTGTACTCTGGTGTGGGAACCCGGGTGGGTGTTGAACAAGGTGGCAAGGGGAAGGCAGAATTTGCAGTGAAGAAACAGAAGGTATGAAAAGGGTGCTTAACCCTTTCCTGCCCACCACTTTCTCCATGCAGCTTCCACCACCCCACCAGCTACTTTCCCCTAGCAGGATCTTAGCATGTTTCTTTGCTGCATAGCAGACCTCTACAGGGACCAAATCTAGGTGGTTGGCCATGCATTAAAAATAGAGAAGTGGTCAAGGTTGAGTGTTTTGTTTCTGAAGTCGTCTGGTGACAGCTGGAGCACTTTCTGAAGTCATCTGGTGACACAGTTACATACACTCTCTCATTCACCCTCCCAGGCACTTCATTCTCTGGCCACCGCATCCAATCTCCCCATCACTCACCCACTGACACACAACCTCCCGCCCTCTGAAAACATGATTAGGAGCATCGCAACAGCAATAACAGCTAGACTAGGCACACGGGGAAGGAGACAGGTTGAAGTCACACACCCATGTTTCTGATGTACAAAAGATTGCTCGTCCGTCAGCGTTATTAGCAGACCCTTGGTCATGATGTCTTTGGTGGAACCCCATCCTCAGTCCACCATCCCCTTTAGCACACTCCATTCCTCACCACCATCACTACTGCTTTCCTTGCCTCAGTCTCATCCACTGTATGGAGACTTAGGTCCATCCAGTTCCTGCTAGAGAAAGAGGGAAAGTGGAATCAGCTGTGGTGCTTTCCCTCCCTCTTTCCTTTGGAGAAGCAGCAGCGAAGGACAGGGGCTTTGGTGGTTGCCAGTGAGCCACTTGTGGGGCAGGGCCCTTGACAGGTACTGGACTATCCCAGCCCTGAGAAGTAGGAAGCCACAGCCAGATGGGGTCCCCCACCCTCCAAATCTTACTCAGACTCCACACCAGGCATACTTGAAGTGGTATAAATATTGCTAATCTCCAGTGTGATCTTTTCTTGTAAAGAAAAGAGCTGGTTGAAGTATGTGTGAGTTTTTTGTCATGCACATTCCTTTATTCCAGCCTTGATGTAACTTTGCATACAATAATGCTGCTTTTCTGACACTAGCAGCAAGCAGCACTTGTTTTCTTCCTTGAGGCA